CATATATAATCAAGAATCAATTCAATACATGAGAGTTTCAAAGGATTACATCGTTTCCCCAACAACAATGGAGGTTTAGTTCACCATAGACATGGTGAAATTAGATGAAAATAATGAAAAGAATGAAAGATAGAACCCTAAAAGTTGAAAATCGGAGCTTCCGCATTCAAAATCCGCCTCCGAGGGGTGAAAGGAGTGTAATTTCGCCTCTTTCTGTCCAAAGATATCAACCCTAGGTCGACTAAACCCTTATATAGTTTATAAAAATAATAGAAAAGTGGCCCAGGCCCAAGTTGACAACGCTTAGCGGTAGGAATTGCGCTCAACGGTAAGTGCGACACTCAGAGTGACGCTCAGCGATGGCGCATAGGCGTGAAACAGTGCACTTAACAGTAGACTTTGGCGCTCAACGGTAGAAATGCCGCTCAGCGGTGACTACGATACTTGGATTAGCCCTCAGCGATGGCGCTTAAGCATCAGACAGAGAACTTCAACAGCAAGCATGGCGCTCAGCGGTGAAATGGCATTGAGCGGTGGATGCGATTCTTCTGTTGTGCAATTTTCCTTCCTTTCCTGAGTCCAACTCCTTACTCCTTCAACTTCTTCATCCAATTCATCTTAATTCCTGTCAAAACAAGGAAAAACAAGCATAAAACCCATCCAACTCTCTTATTTCCACAACTTAAGAAAAAACATGATTCAAGCTAGTTTCTAAGTCATAAAGGGTGTTTTTGATGTCAAAATTAAGTATAAAAATAACGGTTTTACAACCGTTATCAGCTAGTAATTTTTTTAGATTTAGTTTAGAAGAACATTGAGATTTTCATGTATAACTTCTTTATTTTTTGATCATCATATGATTCATGTCTAGAAAATCACAACACAATTTTGAAAAGGTGTGTAGAAAATTTTGATTCTTAATTGGAAAAAATTTATTTTCATGTTGAAAGAAAAAATCATGCTTAGACACAAATCTCTAAAAAAGACATTGAAGTTGATCCAATAAAAGTGGACATCATAGCAAAAATTCATCCTCCAACAAAATTCAAAGACATTAGAAGTTTCTTAGGACATGCTAAATTCTATAGAGGCTTCATACATGACTTTTCTATAACTGTTAAACCTCATATAAAGATTATAAATTCTCATTTAATGATGATTGTCTTGATGCTTTTTCACTTCTAAAGAAAAAATTGAGCTCAAAACCTATAATCATTACACATGATTGGAAATATAATTTTGAATTAATGTGTGATGCAACTGATTATATTGTAGGAGCTATTTTGGGATAGAGAAAGAACAAAAATTTTCATGTCATACATTATGCAAGCAAGGCTTTGAATGAAACTCAAGTGAATTATGCTACCACTTAGAAAAAGCTTCTTGCAATAGTATATGCCTAGAAAAGTTTTGTTCTTATCTAACTGGATCTCAAATCATAGTTTATACAAACTATGTTGCAATCAATTACCTCTTGACCAAATCTAATTCTAAACCAAGATTAATATTTGTTGTGAAAATCACGCGGCAAACCACCTATAAAGGTTGTCAAATATAAAGGTAACCAATAAAGAAGAGGAAATTCTTGAAGAATTTAATGATGCAATATGGCAAATTTCGAGGTCGTTGGATGCATTATGGAAAAATACAATTAGAACTAGAAAAATAATATATTTATGATGCAAATTAGTCCATCTGAGATGATCCTCTTCTATTAAAAGTAGGAGTAGATAACTTGCTAAAAAGGTGCATTGTAGGCGAGGAAATTAAGAATATGTTATGACATTATCACAATTCACCTTATATAGGTGATTTCAATGGAGAAAGAATAGTAGTAAAGATCCTACAATTTGGTTTCTATTTCTAAAGATGCTTATGAGCATTGCTAAAGATGTGACAAATGTCAAACAATTGGAGGAATTTTAAGAATGAATGAGTTTCCTTGTAAAATGTTATAGAATTAGAGGTATTTGACTATTGGGTCATTCACGTGGTTGGCCCTCTGCCATTGTCCTACTTAAATGGATATAGCTTAGTAGTAGTAGACTATGTCTTAAAGTGGGTTGAAGAAAGTGCAATCCAAAAAGTTGATTCAAGGACAATGATTAAGTTCTTAAAAGGAAACACTTTCTACAAATTTGGAACTCCATAAATGCTTTGTTGGTATCATGTGGCTCTAGTAATCAATTAACATATGTTGGAACTCCATAAATATTAGTTTACCCACTTAGTAACACTCCATTACTACGTTGTATTTGAAAACCATATCCGAGACAGAAACCCAAAAGTGAATATATAAAATGAAAACAATACCATATGAAACAAGATCAACAAAACATAAAAGAATAAACTAGGTTAATTTATTTCTTCTTAAACACAATATTAATTTCAATTTTTTCACACAGAAAGCTTTAAGAACAATTTTAAAATAGTTTGCACTCTTTCTTAGTAGTAGAAATTGTTTTAGAAACTTTGATTCTGATATTATGTCAAATGATTTTTAAATGAGAGAGTTATAAAGATTTATCTCTATAATTTATTAGATAATATGTTAATTTCACTTACTTGTGAAAGTAATCAATTAACTCATCATTTAATATATTAAAATAATAAAGTCTCACTAGTGCAAAATTGACCTTTAACGTTACCACATAGACGTTAGTCCACAAAAGTCCTAACGTAAATAATTGACCGGTGGCATATCTGTAAATAAGTGAAACTGTAGACGTCCGTTGTGAGAGTTAATTATGAAAATTAATTATGTAGACTTCTTTGCACTTGTCTTAGCAAATTATGAAAATTAATTTTTTTGAATGGGTAGGGCCTAACCTTGTGAGAGTTAAAAAACTTATATTGATGATTTTACGAACATAGTATGGATCGAAGCTGGATGAATGAACGTCGCATTAGTGAAGAATATGATAAGGGTGTTTCGGATTTCTTGCAATACGTTGATGACTGGAATGAGGTAATGACGTATACCTTGAATACATTACAAATCAAATTTATCTTCAAACATATATGAAACCATAATGAATCTTTCTTGAATTTTGCAGCGCTTCAAGAGTACATCGCCTATACCTGAGGACACAATTAGACAGATAAGGCAAGAGTGGACCGCTTATCTTCTGCAAAGATGGAGTTAGGAATAGTTTTATTTGTTGTTGAACATTGCTTAGTTTTAGTTTTAGTTTTAAATTGATAGTTTTGGTAGTGGATTATATTTTACATTAAGTAGAACTTTGTTTATATGAAACACATATGCATATTATTGCAAAATTGTTATAGGACAATTTTCTGCTTTTCAGGTGTGGTTTTATTGCAAAAATAAATTAATTTTTTTAAAAACAACGCCCAGTAGACGTCGGTTAGTGCACTGTCGAACGTCTATAGACGTCTGGCAGTGCACAAACTGACGTCCAACCCCCACCCCTAGCACAAGACAATTCAGGCATGTGGTCGTCGGGTGACACACCTCGGACGTGTGGATAGACGTCGAGGGAGGAGACGACGGACGTTTGTATAGACGTCTGACGGGGCACATTGGACGTCTATATGGACGTCCGAGGGTGTATACCGGACGTCTGCATAGGCGTCGGGCCTGACACATCGGACGTTTATACACACGTCCGTTGTGGACCCCCCGACGTCTGAGTAACGTCACTCACAAAGACGTCGGGGGAAGGTCGGACGTCAAAAAGCCAAAAGAACGAACGTTTAAAGCTCTTTCTGCACTAGTATCTAAAGCCTTCATATATTTTACGTGATTTCTATATAAAAAATCATATAGACAAATTAAAACATAAATCTCATGCTCATAGTTCTAGTTGACTATAATCAATTAAAATGTTTTTTTTAATCATTATAAACTAGCTAAGAACATTCTAATAGATTAAAAACATTTTTTAATCCATTAAAAATCTGTTTGTCACCAAGACAATCTCTAATTAATTTTGACAAGATTTCTAATTGCAATTCTATAATCAAATCATGAAAGAGAAAGTTACAACAAATCTTAATCAACATAGTACATCTAGAAACACTTTTAGATTTTCATGATCAATTCCAACTTTCAAGTTCTTTGTGAGAGGTGTTGGATTCATCAGATGCACTATAGCTCCAACACATGCACACGTTTTAAAAGATTTTGAGGTAGACATTTCAATATGAGATCCTCTTGAAAGAAATGAAGAGACAAACATTCTTCATAAGCATAAAATAAGCATTTGTTGTGTATCCTGAAATGCTTCAAACCATGTGTACTTATAATTTGTACAAGTAGAAGGTTATCAAACAAATTAAGCACGCCCAGGATTCAAGAAAAAACTTATTAGACAAAGTAAGCACATTTGCATTTGTCCAATCAAAAGCTTATTAGACAATATATACTTAGCATCTTTCCAAGAAAAAACTCATTAAAGGAAGCATAGAGTAAAAATGCTTGTGTTTCTTAAGCCAAACCAAGTGCTTGCGTCAATCAAGACATGATACTTATAAAATCGTTTTTCATACTTTATTGTTGAGAACATAGTTAAAACCAAAGGGTCTATTTAATTTTGATCTAGCATTCTTCAATGCACACGTTGTTTAGACTCTTGGATATCTTCTTGGTACTTGCAATCTCTATATACTTGTCAAAATTCATTAGATCTTATCAATGTGATCATAGATATCATAATATCTATTAAAAGACCCAAGCTCATTTGATATGGTCTAAAATATATTAAACATACTTTGTATGTCCTCATTTTGTTATATACTAAAGAGTTCGTAGAGACCGTAAGTAAACTTTCTCCTTATTTTAAAAATATTAATATTTCATATATAAATCTCATACTTATTAGATCAATTTTGAACCGGACAATAATAATATATTTTGAATTATTTTAAGCACTATTTATCCTAAAATATTAGGGTATAAAAAAAATAGATTTATAATTAAAAATAATAACAAAATGTAAAATTTTAAGGGTGGAATTGAATTATTACTTAAATTTAGACAAAGAGGCTTTTTCGTTTGAACGCGCCTTCAACTTGTAGGGGTGAACAAAGCGCTCTACTAGCTTTCACGCGAGGAACAGGATGGTTTCTCTTCCCATAGTCCAATATGAAGAAAAAATTATCGAAACCGTTGAGCGGAACCCCGTTGTGGTTGTCATCGGGGAGACGGGGTCAGGCAAGAGCACTCAACTCTCTCAGATGCTTCACCGCCGCGGCTATGGCAAAATCGCCGTCACTCAGCCACGTCGAGTTGCCGCCGTCTCCGTCGCCAGGTAACACGACTTCAATTTTCAACTAATTGCATCGACTCTTCTCCACCGCGTTTCCGTTTCTCACCAAATCGTAGTCGTTTAACTTCCGCGCAGACGAGTCGCACAAGAGCTCGGCGTTCAGCTCGGCGAGGAAGTAGGTTACGCCATTCGATTCGAGGATAGGACTTCTCACAACACGCGCATAAAGTAACTGCTTTCTCGTTTTGTGTTACACTATTGACTAGACTTGGTTTTGTTTTTTCAATTGGCTTCTGATTGCCATTGATTTGATATAATTAAGGTATCTTACTGATGGAGTCCTGCTTCGTGAAAGTCTGGCAAATCCTGAGTTGCGTGAGTATTCTGTTATCATATTGGATGAGGCGCATGAACGGAGTTTAAACACGTAAGATTGGATACTGTGTGCTGTTCTCCCTTGTTAGGTTTATAATTATTGTGTATGAAATATTTGGTGATTGGTGTGCTTGTTGTCAGGGATATATTGATGGGTCTGATGAAACGCCTGGTTAAAGTTCGTTCATCTGATCTCAAAGTTTTGATTACGTCTGCGACTCTTGATGGCGATAAAGTATCCAAATTCTTTGCTGATTGTCCGGTATTGAACATCCCGGGAAAGTTGTATCCAGTTGAGGTTCTTTATAGCAGTGAGCGTCCCTCCAGCTATCTCGAGTCTTCGCTGAAGACAGCTCTTGGTGCGACATGAAATTCTAACATTGACTGCATATCAAGTCAAATGTGTGCTTGTGCGTTTGAATTAATTTGCCATAACACATGTAGTTAGTAAAAAATTCTGTCAAAGTGTTACATGTTTGCCTTGCTCATTGTATATTGATAGAACCTTGTATGAAGCATGCATATTTGCCATCGTTAAGGTAACATTTCTTGAAACTTTTATTTGCTATTAAAAGAGAATGGTCTTGGTTAAGGTCGTTGCATGCAAGAACATAAGCTGATAAGGAGAGTGGGATGCATTTTAAACCTCAATTGTGAAATTTTTGTTCATGTTGATGTAAATAATAATCACAAGCACTTTCTTCTGTTCCTTTATGATTGAATGACTTGTAATTTGCAAGTAGAAATTCAGGAAATTTTGTAATTCTGGTTTTGCAGATATACATATTCGCCAACCTGAAGGGGATATTTTAATATTCATGACTGGACAGGTAAACATTTTTGTTATGTGATATTTACTCTATACTTTTCTTTTTCCAGAATGTAAATCGTAGTGTATATTTTGGATAATTTTTTTTTTTAACTTATTTAGGGGAAATAATCCCTTTTTTCTTTTTTAAAATTTTCTGGGAGATTGCATCTGTGTGTGTGTTTAAGCATTTGTTTTCTGGAATTAACCAATATCCTAGACCCCATAGTTTCTGGTATGATGCAATAATTGAAAATATTTCAATGATTTTCATGTAGGATGACATAGAGAAGTTGGTATCTAAGTTAGAAGATAAGGTTCGTGCTCTTGAGGAAGGTTCCTGCATGGATGCTATAATCCTTCCCCTACATGGTTCTTTGCCCCCTGAATTGCAGGTAAGTAATTTTTGTTTGTAAAATCTGCTGGGCATGAGTTACTCAGTCTAAATTCCAAATTCAATCAAATTTCTATAAATGGTTGAGACGAGGCATGACTGATACTATAGATAAAAGCTGCAGTAATTGTGAGAATATTTGGAAAGGAATTACAATTTCATTCCTATACATAGTTGACGGTATCATTTTAGTTTTGTTCATTTCCAACTTGACTGATTTGCATTTGAAAAATGCTGCTGGCTTAAGTGTGAAACTTCCTTGAGAGTATTTATTTTGGAGATCCACATTGATTGGAGAGATCTGACCAGAATATAGTATATGTATGGGGGACAACCCACATCTTACTAGTTTTGTGGGATTGTGTTAGCCTCTAACACAAATTGTAAGATTTATCTTGGTTTTTTCCTCTTTTAACTTGTTACTTACCTTGTTTGCTTCTTAAGAAATGCCAAATTATATTTCTTCCCTTACAATTAACACTCATAATTGTTTCTTTTCTTTTTGCAGAAAACCTTAAATATACAACAATTGGTGTTTAATATATTTTGTCCCAAAAAATAAAGTTTGAGGCATTGCAATTCTTTTTGGTGCATTTGACAATCATGCATATAGCCAACTTCACCTATTAGTGTAAGACTATTTTTATTATTGTTGTTGAAACTCATGCATGTGTTTTATGATTGTACAGGTGCGTGTATTTAGTCCTCCCCCTCCAAATTGTAGACGAATTATTGTTGCAACAAATATTGCTGAAACTTCCTTGACTGTTGATGGTGTAGTGTAAGGACAATGTACTTGATAAAATATTGTTATTTTGGGATTGCAACTTCACTCTAGCATACCGGGTGTCTAGTTATGCATCATCACAAAGATGAATTATTGTGTATTGTCCTTGTCGTTGCTAATTGTTTTTATTACTTAATATTATAATACAATTTTTCTTTTCATTCTGTAACCTACTTATTTCAATCTTAACCAGATAAGATATCACAAGTTTTTGGAAAACCAACACTCCCTGTAATCTGTTTATTGACAAGTTCTGAAGTTCATGATTAAACTATTTCTGTAAAAGTGTCGTCAGTATTGCATAATATTCCACCCAAGAAAGTATGAAAACATTCATGGCAAAACAATATTTAATGCTCAGTATATAGTGTATGCCACAGCTGGCGATGCATTCTATTTCTGAAAAATAATATTGTTTTGATTGCAACTGTTTTCACAAGAAATTTTATAGACTAAAGAGCCAATGGGGGACAGGGGTGACAATGACATGATTTGCTTTAGACTTTATGAGGTGCAACTATTGAGATAAATCAGGCAACAAACCTTGCCATTTGAATTCACCCCTACTGTGATTTGGAGTGTTTTTCAGTCATTTTCTCCTTTATATCAAGCACATAAACTTGCTTTCTCACCATTTTAAATTTTATGAATTTTAGGTATGTTATTGACTCTGGGTATGTAAAGCAAAGGCAATACAATCCATCCAGTGGCATGTATTCTCTTGATGTTGTTCAAATTAGCAAGTATGCAGTTAGTAGTTTGGTGTCTTTTTTGTGGCTTCATAAATCTTAAATATCCTATTTATAAGCTGTAACGTGATTTCAAATAATTCTTGACTATGCAGAGTGCAAGCTAACCAGCGTGCTGGCCGAGCTGGACGAACATGTCCTGGGAAATGCTATCGACTATATCCCTCCCGTGTTTACAATGATGAGTTTTTGGATGTTACAGTTCCAGAAATTCAGAGATCTTCCCTTGCTGGCAGTGTTCTTTACTTGAAGTCATTGGACCTCCCAGATATTGACATTCTAAAATTTGACTTTCTGGATCCTCCATCATGTAACGTACTATCTATCTACTCACACTTTGTCTCCTTGCAGCATTGAGTAACTAAACTTGGTTCTCATTGATAATGCTCCTGGAAATCCTTTTTTGTCATCCCAAACATTAATTCCATTTTTCTTTATATATTCGGGGATCAGGGGTCAGTCCTTATATTAGTTTCTTGTAGCTTTAAATATTTTTATCCTTGACTAGCTAGCAACTATTAAGTAAATGAGTTTTACTCAAGTTTACTTAGTGATTGGGTAACTGGGTTTTCTGCAGTTGAGTCCTTACAAGATGCCTTGAAGCAGTTATTTCTGATTGATGCTATACATGAAAATGGTGCAATTACAAGTTTTGGACAGAAAATGGCTGGTACATGATTTTTTCTCAACATTTTATTGTTGAATTTTAAATCTATATGCAGAAATAACGCATGTTATATTGTTTTCTTGATCAAGATTTTGTTAAAGGTCTTCACTACTTTTCCATATTTTTTGTCTATTTTTTTTCATAGAAGATTCTTTCTGCTAGATTTGACAATGAAAGTTGTGCATAGTGTTGAGCATAAAATTTATTCTTCTTACCCATTTATTTTCCAAGTCAGATGTATATGGAAGAGTACTTCTCTTGATTTGCTGAGTTGTTTGTTGATTCTTTGCAGAGCTTCCATTAGAACCATCCTTAGCAAGAACTTTAATGGAGGCAAGCGATCATGGTTGCTTATCTGAGGCTTTGACTGTTGCTGCCATGTTATCAGCTGAGACTACATTGCTACCTGTGCAGAGGTGGAATAGTCTGAACTCTGAAGTTTATATATGTGTTTGTGTATACACACACACATGCAGAGATAGAGGAAGATCCTAGCATCCTGACGTTTTCAATCATACCGAAAAGGACAAAGTTTTTCAATTAGCTACATTCTTACAAAATATTTTAAAATTTTCATACTTTTCAATACTACTACTACCAGTCTATAAAACAAGTGAAAACAAATCAGGGACATAGGATGATTTCTATCTTGGTTTTCTCGAGACTTATACATTTAAACATCAAAAGGATTGTAGCTGAGCAGTAATAACATTCCTTTAATGTGCAGAAAGACTGAGAAAAAGAGAAAACACTCAATATCTAACCTTGCCGAGGGTTCTGGATTGGGTGATCACATTCATTTGCTACAAATATACCAATGCTGGGATCAAAGTGATTTTGACATTGGATGGTGCAAAGATAACGGCTTGCAGGTACCTTTATGCGTTCTAGTAATGTCAAGAATAACATAAACTGGGCTTTTGCATTTTAGTTGTCAAAATGTTTAGTTAGAAGCCTAATAATATCCTTGTGGAATTGTCTTCACTCTTCACAAATTTGATTTAGATATTGTATCCTTTAAAGAAAACATGCTTATGAGTCATTGAGATAGAATCTTCTGCTTTTTCTTGAGCATAATACTGGTATGCTTTTTATTTATTTCTGTAACAGTTATCTAAAGTTTCCATTCATAATTGGAGAGCCATTCTAAAATATAAAGTGACAGCTACATGTGATCTTTTGTATTTGTTAAATGCTTAATATATGTAATGATTCTGGAATTAACTTATTTCTTGATGATATTGCATCTTTGCAATTTTCTTTCTCTGATAGTTATGTAAAATTTCTAGTCTTCAAAATAGAGCCATTCTAAAATATTAAGTGATATCTACATGCGGATCTTTTTTATTGTTTTAATGCATAGTATATGTGATTATTCTGGAATTAACTGATTGAAGGTGCGAGGGATGTTGTTTGTCAGAGATGTCCGTAAGCAGTTATCCCAGATAATGCAGAAATTATCAAAGGGTTAGTGTTGCACATTTTTTAGGAATTTACCTGTTGAAGTGAATAATAATATACTTTCAAATACAGTGATAATGTCACTCGCAAATGAACAACATTTGAAATTTATCACATTCATATCCTCTTTACTTCTTTTAATTGCTCCTTTCCTTTTGCCTCCCCTTCATCCTTATTGTGTCTATTTGAGCTTCTTTCTAATTTGTATAACAATAATTGTTACTCTTAGAATGCTGAAAAAATAGCCTTAAATATTCAGGGAAGAAAAGAGACAAAAGAAAACGAAATACTAAATTGTTATTAACCGAGATGTATTACAAAGTTTTAACATGTTTGATATATTCAAAAACCTAGAGTATGAACCCTTTTAATTATGAGATTAAAACATATAAGTATATTTCTAGAGGGCTTAAGAGACCCCTTTCACAATCTTCTATTTATGATGAAAAACTGATACAAGAGTACATGGAAGATTAAGGGACTGCACGAGATACTTAGGTGCAGAACTAGGTTCGACAATAGGTACAACTAATAACTTATCTAGCACACTACACCCTACTTAGGCTTAATGATGATACATAGATATAATTATTTTAACACTTCCCATCAAGCTGGAGCATATAGATTGTATGTACCAAGCTTTGAACAAATAAAGTCAATCCGAGGTTCCCTTAATGACTTGGTCAACACATCTGCAAGTTGGTCATTTGACCCAACAAACTCAACATATTTCTTTTGTCAACAATTTTTCACGAACAAAATGACAATCAATTTCTATATGTTTAGTTCTCTCGTGAAACATTAGATTTGCTGCAATGTGGAGAGTAGCTTGATTCTCGCAATAGATCTTCATAGTCTGGATGTCACAAAAGTTAAGCTCTTGAAAGAACTGTTTCACCCTTATAAGTTCACATGTTAGTGATGCCATTGTCCTATATTCAGCTTCCGCTGTTGATCGAGCCACTACATTTTGTTTCTTACTTTTTCATGAGATAATGTTTCCTCCAAGGTAAACACAGTATCCAGTAGTAGACCGTCTATCAATAAGTGAACCTGCCCAATCTGCATCACAGTACCCAGATACTTGAATGCTTCCTTTATCTTCATATAACAACCCTTGCCTGAGAGCCTTTTTGACGTACCTTAGAATGCGAATGATAGCATTCCAGTGGCCAACAAATGGAACTTGCATGAACTAACTAACCACTCCAACTACAAAAGATAGATCTGATCTAGAAATAGTGACATAAATAAGTTTTCCAACCAGCCTCCTATCTTTCTGGATCGGAGGATAATTCATCTTCTGTTAATTTCTGATTTGGGTCCATAGGACTGTCTACTAGTCTACAATCAATCATGTCCATTTGTCATAATATATCAAGAGCATACTTCCTTTAAGAGATTACAACTTCATCTTTTGACTAAGCTATTTCAATGCCTAAGAAGTATTTAAGACTTCTAAGATCCTTGGTTTGAAAATGTCTACACAAGTACTTCTTCAGTTGAGATATTCCAACAATATCATTTCTTGTAATGACTATATGATAGGTTTCTGAGTAGGAAACCTATCTAAACTCCACACTAACACACACCAAACAAGAAGAAAGATAGCAAAACAGAGTAATTCTGTATTAATCTCTTCAATATGTACAACCCAAAACCTCCAAGGGAGCCAAGTTCCCCCTCCACAGGATAAATATGTCCTATCTATACAAAGAATCAATTTCTAAAAACTGACCAATACAAAAATACACCAGCTCTTTATAAGAGCTCTTTTCCCGCCCACTAACTATTATTATAGTTATGCCTCATTAACACTTCTAACCTCCTCATTCCCTCTTCACTTTCTCTCATAGACTCTCTGTTAGGATACAGGGTGATAGGACATTATGGGTAATGGGTTTAGGACAGAAGGCAGAGGAGTAAAAAAGAGCGGAAAAGTTTGTTAGGCTGTTAGAGGGAGAGAGAGTATAAATAAACCTTTTGGGTAATTCTCTAAGGGGGGAATCATATTTACTATTTGTAAACAGGTCTTGGACCTTGTTGAGGGGGATTAGGCATCCGCTAGGGCTAAGAGGGGGATTAGGCCTCCATTAGCGCTACCTCTGTACCTTCTTTCAATATCAATACAGAAACCCATTCCTTTTACAGTGTTAATTCTTGTTTGTGTGTGTGATTGGGTTGTCTTAGTTAGGTCTCCAACTCAGGAACCTAACAAATTGGTTTGACCTGCTAGATCCAATTAAAGGCGGAGCAAGATGGTGGGCAAGCTACCGCTTGGGAGAATAGAATCGAAGGGAGGATAAGCATGATGGAAGGAAGAGACAATACCTGGGAGAGGAGGACCAATGAAAGGAGCATGGCAAAATACATAAGAAATATGGAAGAAATACGGCAAGAAACGGCCTCGATGCGTCAAGACTTACAAGAAATCATGCAAAGGTTGGGTGGACGAAACAGGAACTAGGATGGACACGCAGATGGGGTCCAAGTGTCCATCAACGAGAATCGGAGGGTGAGGCGGAAAGACGAAGGAGGAAGGGAAGGCGAACATACTGAGGGGCAAAACAGCTGGCGGAAATGGGTGGCGCTACTAGTCTTCGAGGGGATCGATCCGTTGAATTGGATCAATCGCGCAGAGAAATTGTTCGAGTTACTAAGGGTATTGGAGGAGGAAAAGGTGTGCCTAGCCGATATCAATATGGAGGGGAGCGCTAGCTACTGGTTCAGAGCATGGAAGGAGAAAGCCAAGAATAGTTCCTGGGATGGCTTGAAGGAAGCCCTAGTGATAAGGTTTGGAACCATTGTTGAGCGTTCGGCAGCATCAAAACAGATGGGGACGGTGGAAGAGTATGTACAGGGAGGCGAAAAGGTAAGGAAAGGGAGCAGGATAGAAAAGATGAGTCATCTGGGGGACAAACGAGAGGTGAGGTGACACGATCTGAGACCAATAGCTATAACCCAGACCGATCGAGAGTTGCCGAGCAATCTGAGGCCAAGTGTTGTAGCCCAAGTCGATCAGCAGTAACCGAGGAACATCTTCAGGACATCAAGAAAGCAAAGCAACCATCATGGGTAATGGGTTTAGGATAGAAGGTAGAGGAGTAAAAAAGAGCGGGAAAGTTTGTTAGAGGGAGAGAGAGAGTATAAATAAACCTTTTGGGTAATTATGTAAGGGGGGAATCATTTTTACTATTTGTAAACAGGTCTTGGACCTTGTTGAGGGGGATTAGGCCTCCGCTAGGGCTAAGAGGGGGATTAGGTCTCCATTAGCGCTACCTGTGTACCTTCTTTCAATATCAATACAGAAACACATTCCTTTTACAGTGTTAATTCTTGTTTGTGTGTGTGATTTGGTTGTCTTAGTTAGGTCTCCAACTCAGGATCCTAACACTCTCCATAACCTATCACTATATCATCAACATATACTATTAAGTAAACACATTTCCTCTGAGATGTATGATAGTAAAAAACCGAATGATCTGCTTCAATACGTTTTAGCCCAAATTTTTTAATAATGGAGTTGAATTTTCCAAACCAAGCATGTGGTAATTGCTTAATGCCATATAGAGATTGATGCAATTTTCATACCATGCCAGACTCTCCCTAAGCAACAAACCCAAGAGGTTGCTCCATATAAACTTCTTCCACAAGATCACCATGCAGGAAGACATTTTTGATATCCAATTGATGAAGTGGCTAGTGACGAATTGTTGTCATTGCAAAGAAGAGACAAATAGTAGTTATCTTGGCCATGGGAGAGAAAGTGTCACAATAATCAAGGCCATACACCTGAGTGTACCCTTTTGCAACTAACCGGGCTTTGAGCCAATCAATTTCACCATTAGGGGAAACTTTAATTGCATACACCCATCAACAACCAACTGTCTTTTTGTCCAGTGATCTTGAGGAAGAAGTTTATATGGAGCAACCTTTTGGGTTTGTTGCTTAGTGGGAGTCTGGTATGTTATGAAAATTGTATCGATCTTTATGGCCTAAAGTAATCACCACATGCTTGTTTGGAAAAAAAATGGTTGACGAAAGGCGATGGACGATAGTGGACGGCAGTGAACGGCGATGAAATGGCAGAGAACAGTGGTTGGCAGTGTTGGATAGTTTCAAAATGCAGTGGACAGTTGCATATAGAGGTGGACTACAACAAAACACTGTTAGACAATGGCGGACAACAACAAACAACGATGAACTAGACAACAATGACTAGTGCTCGCGGATGAGACGAGACAAACCAGAGCAGGTCGATCACCCGCTCTGATACCAACTTGAGATTAAACCAGATAAATATATTTCTAGAGGGAATCATTATAAGTTTACTTTTCCATCCAGTCTTTTGTATCTCTAAAAATCTTAAAGTGTCTTCCTCTTATTAGGTATAAGCATAGCATTGGGATCGATAGGTGTGTCAATGGGTTTGGAATGCATTAGCCCAATTTTCTCTAAAATATCTAGTGCATACTTCCTCTAAGAAATAATAATTCTATTGCTGGATTCTTGTACATTAGTCCCCAAGAAGTACATGAGTTTGCAAAGATCTTTTGTTTGAAAATGATGATTAAGGGGTTGTTTTATTTGTGATCAACATATACTATTAGATAGTTATAATAGTTATCAACATATGCCATGGTGGTCGCTACTTGTTAGAATAATGTCATCAACATATACTATTAGATAGTTACACCCAACAATTGAATAATGATAAAACATAAAATGGTTAGCTTTGCTTCAAATCACCAAACTATTGGACTACTATATTGAATTTACCAAACCATCCACTTTGATTGTTTAAGACCATATACAAATTTCTAGAGACAACATACTTAGCCAGAAAACTTCACTTGAGCAACAAACCTAGTTGGTTGCTTCATATATATTTCTTCTAGTAAATCACCATATAGGAAGGCATTTTTTCATCCAATTGGTAGAGGGATCAATGTCGAAGAGAGCTGTGTCTAAGAATAATTTGATAGAGACCATCTTGGAAATCGAAGAGAACATTTCACTATAACCAAATATTCGAGTATAACCTTTGGCCAACATACGAGCTTTGAGCTGATCAATGGTGCCATTAGGGCTAACTTTGACGGCGATGACCTGCTGACAACCAACAATTAAATTGCCAGCAAACAATAACAACATCCCAAGTACCATTGTTCTGAAGAGCACATAATTTATCGAGCATGGCTTTTCTCCAACCACAGTGAGCTAAGGCATACTTGTAGTTTTAGGAATAGACAAAAAAAAAACGGAAGTGAGACAAGTTTAACGGGTGGGGCAGTGTATGATAACTCAAAAAGTAAAATAATGAGAAGAAGGATTATGAGTGAAGTGTGTACCTTTGCGAAGTACAATAGGAAGATCCTGCTCAAGAGGCAAAACCATAGTGGGTGAAGGAAGTGGCATTGGAGTACAGCCAGTAATAGTTCCAACAAGAAACAATGGATATTACCTGCTATGATACATCAGAAGAGGAGGTTGAGGTGGTGGGTCTAGCATTACATAGGATATGTCTATATGATCAAAGACAACAAGGGAGGTAATGGAAGCTAAAGAAGTCTTAGAAGGGAAGGGAATTGACACAAAGTAGGGAGAAAAATCAAAGAAGGTGCAGCCAACGAAAATCAAATAATGACAAAGGGAGGGTGACAAAGTATGCTTTGGTTATTTCCAAACCCATTGCATACCTATGGATCCCATTCCTAAAATTTTATTGAGTAAGGGGAAGTCACTTTCAAATCCTGAGAGATACAAGAGCTTGGTTGGAAAACCAAGCTACCTCATTGTTACTCATTCTGATGTTTCTTTTGTAGTCAATGTGTTAATCAATTCCTCAATCCTCCATGTGTAATACATTAGAATGTAGTCATTTACATTCTAAAATACATTAAAGGGGCCCTAAAAAACGATTTGTTATATTGATACAATAATCATGCTCAAGTTATGTGATACTCATGCAAATTGGATAGACTCACCTATTGGCAGGAGATCTATCTTTGGAAACTGTGTCCTTATGGATAACAGCTTGATCTTATTAAAAAACAAAGATGCAAAATGTAGTGGCAAGACTTGGTGCATGAGCAAGTACAAAACAATGACTTTTGCTTCTTGTTAACTTATTTGGCTCAAGCAATTTGAAAAACTAAGACTTGTGGAAGTTAAACAGATGACGCTTATTTGTGATACAAGAAAAATAGTAGTAATATCATTAAATCATTTTATTACAATTTATTTTAATTTTAATTTTGATATATTACATGTTAATTTATTAGTAGTAACCAGTTGAAACGTAATCTTAAAATAATGAATATAAAATTTATATTGTTATATGACATTTTGTAATTGGGTGACAAGATAGCTTTTTTACATTGTCCCCTGAATTTAAAGCTCTTTTTGGTCATATATTGAGTTTTAGCTTGTACTTATTGAGCAGACCTAAAGGAATTGCCATATGCATGGAAGTTCTTGCACGGTAAAACATGGTTGCATAGTTAGCAATTTCCCATATCATTATTCTTGTTGGGAAAAACTATTCCACAATATATATCATGTTGTGTATGTTGTTTCCTCCCCACTTTACGTATAGCTTTTTTTCATTCTCACAATAGGACCACCGGATGTAAAGGCTAATGGGAAAAGGGAAGAGTTCAGACAAGATTATCGAAATTTAAGGAAGGCTTTATGTGTGGGCTATGCAAATCAGCTGGCTGAAAGAAAGATGCATCACAATGGTTATCGAACTCTGGGTTTCCAAGGTCAAGTAGTGCAGGTAAGACAAGTTTATTCACCATTGCATGCCACCGTTTGCAGCACTTTTACTTCACTTTCTTTTAGTATAGAGTTTTTCCTTAAATTCATATTATACTTTTGAAGTCTATTTTTTTTATGATGGAACTTACAGAATGTCGCAGTGAAAAACGAAGTCTTATGTAATGTGAATTTTGTAGACACTAGCTAGTATTCAACTGCAACTGAATTCTGGTTGATAGATACATTAATTACCTGAATCTTTTTCTAGGTGCATCCATCATCTGTGTTGAGTCTTGATGACCACGGAAAGTTCCCAGACTATGTGGTGTACCATGAACTAATTGCAACGCCACGTCCATACATGAGAAATGTATGTGCTGTTGAGATGAGATGGGTTATACCCATTATTAACAAGCTCAAGACCCTAGATGTGTACAAATTAAGGTAAACTATCACCGTAGTAAAACTTTTGGAACATTCTTATGTTTTTTATTGGGGGAGGGGAGCACCGTGTGATAATTGATGGCTCTAATTCCTTTATTTGAAGCAGTGGTGGTATTCATCATGTTGAGGAGGAACCTGTGAAAAATCTTCCAGATTTACCTAAGAAGGATGTTGAAGTTCCCAGTACTGCTGATGATCGTGAAAGCAGAATCCAAGCTGCTAGAGAACGATTTCTTGCTCGAAAAGGCAAAAAATGAGCCTGAAAGGATGGCGCTCCAAATACACTGCGGAGATGATGCTAGCTTGTCAGGCATTCTTTTACAGGGGTGCAACTAATAAGGTTACCTGAACGGATGCAAGAGTCTAGATGAGCTGATGCTTTTGAGTTTTCCACGTTGTCACCAATTTTTGTGCTATGATGTTATCCCAGCTTCATTGTTCGCAAACATTAGAAAGTCATCAGAAGGTTTAGCACGAACCTGAGATTGGTCTCATGCCGTTCATGTAAGTTGATTGAGCGGCTGAAATGCATGTCATGTTTATGCTCTTGATTTGAATTATACCCAGAATGGAGAAAGGAAAAAGGAAGAGGAAGGAAATGGGAGACAGAAAGTAGCAAGTCCGCTGACAAGTAAATGTTGATTAAACACTTGAGGGGTTTTGAAATGCAATCCTGGTTGCAGACATCAGACTGAGATAATACCTTTCAGTGGCTCATATTGCCTGAGAGTTCAATTTCATTGTTGTTTGATATTGGGCCTATTTGGATTGAGATAATGCCTAGCTGAGATTGCATTTGAAGTTAAACTTACACTATAGTAGTTATGTATATGAAACAAGGTCGATCCTTCTATATTAGGGTGTTGGTTCTCTACCCGATGATCAATTAAAGCTGAATGTATACTAATGTAGAATGTACTCGACGAAATGTCTCAATGAAATGCAAATGGTGAAAATGCAAAGCAAACAATGAACAACTTTTAAATGTTAAAACTAACCCAAACATGTACTAAGAACTGAATTATAACATCATAATTGCGAAATCACATATCAAACCAAAATCAGAAAATTGGTGCAGTGGTGTGTGGAATTTTTCATGACGCAAAGCGTTTTTAATTTAATATATGACGCACTGTGTTATATTTACATAGAAATTCGATTTTTTTGGAAATCGAATTCTAAATTTCATTTGAGAAGTTTTTAATAAAAGTAGAAGTTGAAATTCGTTTGATAGAGACACGAATTCTACAAAGGATAAAATTGGCTTTTAACGTAGGTAAATTTTTTTTTTTTACTTTTTACTTTAAAAGTCCTCATCATTTTTTTTCCTTTTTTTCTTTGTCTTACTAGTCGTGCCCCTTCCCATTTGTTCTTCTTCTTATCTTTTCCATTTTTGTTCTTTTCTTCATGTTACTTTTGCATTATTAATGTTGGGAAAGTTAGTTAAAAACAATATCGACATCACTATTCAAGTATCTCAATTAATGTTGGTTGTCACTTTTGCACGGTTAATTTAGGTTTTTAGAGTGTTATTAAGATATAATAACTCTTGTAATTGGAATATAATAACTCTTGTAATTGGATGTAATTTTTGCCTTTAGTGCGATTGAATGAGTTAGGACAATGTTAAAAGTATGTTAGGTGTTAAAAAAGTTAGTCAAAAACAACACCGACATCATTATTTAAGAGTCTCAATTAAGATTGATTGTCAATTTTGCGTTGCTAATTTAGGTCTTCAGAGTGTTATTAAGATATGATAACTCTTGTAATTTGATATAATTTTTGCTCTTAACACAGTGGAATCGATTAGGGCAAGGTTAAAAGTATGTTAGGTGTTTGAAAAGTTAGTCAAAAACAACACCGACATCATTATTTAAGTGTTTGAAAAATAAAGATACAATAATTAACTTTAATAAAGAACGAACTCCTTGACATTAGTGAATGAACCATTTTTATTAATTTTAACATAACTACCTTGTATAACAAAGTCCAAAAGCAGTTACTCAATATGACTACATCGAACGTTAAAACTAGTAATTAACTAATCATTCCCTATAATGGTCTTCACCTTCATCTCCTCCATATGCACCGCAAGAAGTACCTATTTCGTTGTGGCTTTTGACAAAATAAAACGAGTTATCATAAGGTCCCCCAACATCGTGGGCCGAAGGTGGAGTAGGGGCATAAGCTCCAAACATGGTTGGCATGTCTAAATCAAAGAATGATGAAATGGAATGTCTTCTTGCATCAATAGTTGGCTCTGCATGAGGAGTGTTTGATGGTCCCTACTGTCATGTTGTTCAGGAGAATGGTTGACAACATATCCTTCTAATCCTTAGGATCATTTCCTCGAGTCTTGCTAAGAGCTATACTTGTGAGATTAGCTTTGATACCAACTAAAATACCTAAAAACACTAAAAGGGGGGGGGGGAGGTTGAATAATGTTAATGGAAAACTCTTTCACAACCTTTCTGATATAGAACTTTCATCGAGTACAATTTTTTTCAAGTAAGTTGATAAACGCTCAACCTTGCGATTAGTTTCAAATAATAAATTTCTTTCAAGTGTTGTTCAAAATATACGTTGTAGTATTTGTAAAGACTGCATTTTAATGAAAATCATTTAATATAGGAAGCTCTTATATTTAAAACTAAAATGCAACTGCAGCTTTTATATTTAAAACTAAAATGCAACTGCAAGTTTTATAAGAGAAGCATTGTAAATACATAAATATTTTTTTTACTGGTTCACTCCAACTGAGCTACGTCTAGTCTCCTCTAACCTTAAAGGCTTCCACTATAATCTTCAACAAGATTACAACTAAGTATTCTCATCATTCCTAGTATCCCTAGGCACTCTTGGTATCTCCTGCTACACTGCTTAGCTGATTTTCACTCAGTCCTAGTTGTGCAATATTCTTTACCACTCTTGGTATCTCGAGTTAGCGAATAACTCCTACTATCCTAGACTAGTTGAGTTTCACCCACTTCGGGTTTCTACTATACAATCCTAGTATCCCTCGATACACTGTCTAGTTATCCTTAACTCGCCTAATTTAAACAACAAGTGTTTTAATTCTCTTCATAATTTGCAATAAATTAATTGCTTACAAGTCGTTAGACAATTACTCCCACAGAGAGGATATGTTTTCAATACAATACCTTCTACAGACTCGATGAATGTTTTTTCCCTTTTCTCTTTTCTCTCTACTTATAAATCGTAAGCAAATAATACAATGACGCTTGAAAGTGTTTCTTGACTTGTTTTTTCTCTGATATTCTCTTTGAGCTTGAGCTTCTTTGTGCTTTTCTCTAAATGATTTTTTTCTTCTCTTCTTAGGATAATATTATTTTCGTAAGCTATCCTCTTGATTCTTTCTTGGAATCATCTTCTATTTAAAGGCTTCTCAGAAGATATTTGTTAGACTTAGCTTTTTTACCTTGAATGTTGTGTCTTCTCTGTCTTGTTGTCAGAAGTAGCGGTTGGTTAAGATCAAAATATCAGAACAAACTTGCTTTTTCAGTACTTTGATTAAAGTAGGTGGTACTATTTTTCTGGAACGACTTTTGATGAAGAGAACATTCCTTGAATGTCTTCTTTGTCTCTAACGTTCACTTTTGATATATTTCTAAACGTTTTTCGAAGGGTGATATTTTTGTTGTAAGTTATCCTCTTGATTCTTTCTTTGAATCATATTCTATTTAAAGGCTCTTCAAAAGATATCTATTAGACCGACCTCTTAGCTTTGAATCTTGTGTCTTCTTTGTCTTGTCATGTGAAGTAGGCATTAGTTAAAGTGAACTTGTCAAAGCAGACTTGCTTTTTTTGTACTTTGTTAGAAGTAGGTTGTACTGTCTTTAAGGCACGACTTCACATGAAGAGAACATTCCGTGAATGTTTTCTTTGGCTCTAACATCTACATCCGAAATATTTCAAATAAAGTAGGTGGATGTGTGTAGTAGTTTATCTGCATAAAATAGAGAAAATTGTGCATGTAGTAGATATGTTTTATCTCTTATCACTTTTGTTGTTTTTGAATGTTGAACATTTAATTACATTTAATACCTGTTCAGAAAAACAAAGTGTTTTTTTCATTTTCTACTGTTGAGGTAGCGTTCATCATTTAAGCTTTTCTCTAAGATACCAAGCATTGGATAAGAACATCATCATTGGACAAAGTAAGGGGTTTAAATCATGGTATCGTCTAGTATGTTGTAAACACTTTTTGGGATATTGAATTTTTAGAGCAAGAGCGCTTAGCAAGTTTCAACTTCTACATGTTTTTGGATCTTTATTTAAGGCTTTCAAAGGGTTTAGCCAAAGACATTGTCTTGACACCTTTTCACTTTTAGAGTTCAACTGAATACTTTTGGGTAGTATAGCTTATGGGTTTAGCATAACTCTCATAGACGCTTTGACTTAGGAGTCATATAGCGTTGCATCTGGATATTTTAACTAAGTTATTTTAGGTTTCGTATATCCTAAGTATTAGATATTCCTTCAACCTTTATCCATTCACCATCCAAATTCTCTTTGTCTTTGGATCTTCAATTTCAATTGCTTAATATGGCCTCAATCTTGATTATAAATGGTCCAGACTATTTAGACTTCAATTTGACTAGGAATAATCTCAACCTAGATTTGTAAAGTAGGACAAGTTTATTCGGCCTAAATTCCCTTTTCATGATCTTTTTAACATGATAGGCCTTCACTTTGGACTTATAGATTCAGGTGGAGTCATAGGCTTGTGTTCTCAACTCCTCAAGCTCTTGTAATTGCAACTTTCTCTTTTCTCTGACAACATTTGAGTCTAAATCAAGTGTCTTGAGAGCCCACTAGGTCTTATGCTTTAATTTAATACGTAGATGATAGGCCTTTCCATAGAGTAATTGGAAAGGAGTTAGCCCTATGGAAGTCTTAAAAGTGGTTCTATAAGCCCATAAGGTATCATCCAACTTTAAAGACCAATCTCTTCTAAAGTTAAAGCTTATTTTCTCCATAATCTTTTTATCTCTATGTGGGATACTTTATTTGGCCATTTGTTTAAGGGTGATAAGTTGTGGCAACTTTGTGCTTAACATGATAGTGTTCTAATACACGTTTAAGCTATAGGATGCAAAAGTTGCTTCCTTCTTCATTGATCAACACTTTACAAGTACTGAATATGCTAAATATGTTCTTTTTGAGGAATTTGATCACTATCCTTGCATTTGCACTCTGCACTACAAATGCTTACACCCATTTAGATACATAATCTACAACCACTAATATATATTCGTGTGAATGAGACTTTGGCAATGGTCCAATGAATTCCATCCCCAAACAATCAAATAATTCAACCTTTATAATGTTCTGTAGAGGCATTTTGCGCCTCCTGGATATGTTTCTAGTCCTTTGGCACTTGTCACATTTTCTACAATGATCAAAGGCATCTTAAAGAGTGAAGGCTAAAACAAACCTACTTGAAGGATCTTGCAACAGTCCTTTCACCGCTAAAGTGGTTTCCATACAGTGAATTATGACAATGCCATGGGATATCTTTGATTTCACTTCCAAATATGAACCTTCACCATAAACCATCTGCACAAATTTTAAACAAACAAGGGTCATCCCAAATGAATTGTCTTGCATCTTTAAGAAACCTTTGTTATTTATTCCATGTAAACTCTTGCAGAATGACTGCAGCAACTTTGTAATTTACTATGTAAAAGGAAACCATGGTCTCTCCTTTACGGCAAAGTGTTTTTCATTAGAAAATTCTTCTTGTATTTCCAGCTCTTTCTTAGTTACATAAGCATTTTCTAATATGGATGGTGATCAACTACATAATTCTCGCTTCCTTTCTTTTCCTTGATCACCACATCAACTTTCTATAG